TAGGGCAGATGTTACTGTTAAGTAAGACCAGATGTCCAATACTCTTCCTAAATCAGATTTACTAAAAGAGTCAAAACTTAACTTTAGTGAAGTCTTGTGGACTGCGTCAAGCTGAGCATCAAAACTGGTTCAGAATGACGGGATCTTCATCATGCAACTTAATACGAAATACCCTTTTTGCACAACAATGTTATCTTCATGAGATGCATCAAAACTCGTATATCCGCATTCATAATCGTCTCTTTTTCCCTATTTCAGGTGTACAACACAAGGTCCGCCAATTGGGTGCACTGGTCCGTCAGTACTCTGTCGAGTCGCCTCCTGGTCCTTCGCGCGGGGAGGCCAGTGGGCAACCGAGAGTTGCTGTGGACGAGACGACTCAAAGCAGCCAATCCGACGGTATGAGTGACGCCGATGTAGATGCTGACATCGACGTCGATGCCGATGTCGATGCAGATGGTGACGCCGACATTGAGGCTGACGTTGACGTCGACGTAGACGTCGACGTGGATGGAGATGTCGGTTTTGAGTTTGACGAGACGTCCTCTCAGGCCAGCGTCAATGCGTACGGGCAGACTCGATGTCCTTTGGCCCAGTCGAAACTGGCCAACGCTCGTACTGGCCTGATCCAAGCCAATTCCGTTGATTCTCTGCCGACTCAGCCAGTTTGGCTGGACGGTCGGCTTCGGAGTGTCGGGGAGGACAAAGAGAATCGTCCGCCTGGGCTGCCTGTGTTACCGGGGCCGACGACGAGTTGGCTGTGCCACGCTCCGGGCCTAGCAACCACGGGTAGATCTGCATTCTCGCCCATTCTGACTCGCCAGAGTCCGGCCAACTCCGGCAGCCTCGCCGACTCTGCTCCGTCTAGACCTTCATTGAATGCGAGTTCCGGGCAACTGGGCCAATCGGCCTTCACATGTGGTTCCACCCGAAGCCAGAGACAAATCGCCGGACTCGAGCAGTCGACTTCGAGCTCTTCTTCTTCTTTCTCGTCGGTCTGTCTGGCCTACATGCCTGTCGTCGGGATGCCTGACGACGATGCGACCGGCGATCCGGTCGCCATCGAGCCCATCTGCTCAACCGACCAGACGAGCCCGACTCGGTCGTACCGACTTCGGCAACAGGTGCACACGGCATCGGCAGGCGAGCAACATGTTCACCGACCGACCGAGTTGTCGGACCAGACCGGCAGCACTCGTCTGCCGCCTCGATTGCCCCGAGTTCCTCGAGTCCCTCGCGCCTCTTATCCCGCCAGTCAGAGCTCCGGTTGCTCATCTTTTGCCACTTCTCCATCCGCCTCTTCAGCCTCCTCCTCCTCCTCCTCCTCCTGCCTCTCGGGTGCCTCCTTCCAGCAGCAACACACCCGTCCGTCCTTGCACATCTCCACTGCTCACATGTCCGAGGCCGCCTCGGCTCATCGACTCTCTCAGGCCATCTCTCTCCTCGGTAAGCCAAGCAACGCGTTTGCACGTCAGCTTGACTCCGAGTTGGACATGTACAGCGAAGATTCGGCTCTGGACGCATGCGAACGTCACGTCTGGCGACCCTATCTCGACTAGCTCCGGACACACAACCCTCAACCAGTCTGACTCCCACTCTTTGTATAGCACTCATGACATTTGGGCTGTGCACCACTCGATTCATCATCAGATTCCTATTTTACCTACTCCCTCGTTTTACCCATTCATCCGAGGTGTATCTTTTACCCTTCAATCCCACCCCTAACCCGGCATCCCGGGAATGTACATTTTTATCGAACTCCTTTTATCCTCCTGCCAGTTAAAGATGATTTAACTCCAACAGTTTATCTCTTGTGAATAAATTCTCTATTATACCTACACCAAGCCTCTTCTTTTGCCACTCTAGTCGGCTCGTTTCCTGGTTGTCAAGATGATGAGCGTCTCGTGGTAAGACTGCCGCAATGCCCGTGACACCTTTTCGGCTCACCATTGCGCCAGTCCTATTAAGGCCGATTTGGTTAAAAATACCTTTACCGTCGTGATGGCATTCATGAAAAAACGCTAAGCGAATTAAAGTGGTCAAACTTTGACTGCCTAATCGAACGCGATGTCGTTTTGTTGTCTACCTCATGTCCGCTAA